TGGCTAAGCTAGATGAGCTGTTCTGACCCTACACCTGCCTCCCCCAGTGAGCCAGGATTTCTGGGTTTGCTTTGCAATCTCTGTGCCAGATTCAGCCTAAAAATGCAGGTAAGCAAACTCAGCGTGGACCCACTTATGGACTACCGGAAAAGAAAGCATATTTACCCTGAGGTCAGGAGTGGGGTGGATTAGGAGGGAAAATTGGTGTGCACCAGAACAATATGCTGCCTTCCTGCCAGTCAAAAATTCTAAAGCATTTTGGGCTTGCATGGTTAAAAATAAAAGAAGGAAAAAAGAGACCTTCTAACATTCAACTCAGTATTTTCTAAAGCTGCCTAGTCGGGCGATGTGTACATCACCAAGGTGCTATTCCGTGTTTGGTCTTTCACTGTTCTTTGCTACAAAATAAAACAACAAAAATTTGGTGTTGCTGTCAGCTTTTAATGGCACAGCTTTACACTGGAGATCATTAGATTCTCTGCCACCTTGGAATTCCCATGTGCTGTTAGTATGTTGTTTGCTTTCTGGTTTGAGCTGTGTCCCTTGGAAAAGGTCATGTCTGCAGTGTTTTTGGAAATTGTATTTATTTTCCACAAGTGTGCAACTTCAAAATAGCTTAGCTACTTGCATCAGACTTTTCCTGTTCAGGGCAAAATAGCCTCAAAAATAGCTTCTAGGGGATATGGAGTAGTTGGAGTGTGAGTTTGTGGTTTCGTTACTTGCAGTTTGAACTGAAACATATTTTAGTTTTTCATTAACTGTTATTTACTTCAGCATACCATGCAATTGCCCTTCTTCCCATCACCCTGACGGATAGACATCTCTGGCATTTTTAAACTACTCTGCAAAATTAGCTGTTAAAAGGAATATGTGCTGCTGTGGGTATGTCACAATATTAACCTGTAGCATCAACTGATTCTGATTCATATATCACTACAGTGATCTGCTGTTGTGTGTTTTCTGTATCTCAGAGAAGAGGAACTAAAGTATTCACCAGGCTGTATCATCACTAGAGGAAAAGCTTATGTTATATTATCATTTGGTCAACTCCTAGAAAGTACTAGGTAGTTTCCAAACGTACTAGCAAGTTGACAGACAGTGGACTCTTTCTGAGTCATTCTCCTGAAAAGTACCAGCAGTGTGTTCCAAGGGATTTTTGTACATTAAATATATGTGGTGAATACCAAAAGTCCTGCCTTCCCTCTGTGGCATATGCATAATTTGAGTGATTTGCCCAGGGATGCCTGGGCAGAGGGAGGGAGCTGAGTTTGCGTGTGCAAAGTATCGGGGTGGTATCATGTAATTCAGGCCTGTGGTGTAGGTTGTTTCTCCCTGGCTTAATACAGGAAAACTACAGGCTGGCTGTTCTTGCAGACTGTCTGTCATTTGGCCTTTTCAATACATGAAAAAGTGTGTCTCTGTGTGTCTTTTCCTGAACACTTAATCTCTGAGACAGAGTTCTATGTTTACAGTTGCTCAGTACTGCATGGCATCTGAGCATGCAGCAGATTTACATGGGCATCATTCTGCTCCCCAGCCTTTGCTGCAGGCATTCCTAACTTACCTGTTTGGTTTTTAAGTTTAAAAGAACATACTGCCTGTCAGCAAAGGGAGGCAGAGGAAGATAAGGGTTTTCCAAAGTGACAAAAGGCTGGTTAGGACTTGGCCCAGGAAGAACTTTGAGCTTCATCTGACCTGTGCCAAGGCTTTCTCTCAATCTTGCATTTACCAGGAGGATTCAGACTGCTGCTTGTAGACTTGGGAAGTTAAATAGTCCTTGAACAAAAACTACGTGCGCACTGGGTAGTTTCCTAAGGGCGTTATCCTCATAACATCTGTCCAGAGAAGCCCATCAGCAACTTGGGAATGATCAGGAATAGTTGCTACAGGGGGTACAGCACATCTTCACTAAGCATATCACTGTTTTTCAAGGGAAGAGAGTTCTCAGTTGCACTGTTGTGTAACACATGCTGCCCAGTATGATAATGATGGGTTGGGATTTTTCCAGGTTTTTCAATGTCATCTTTTGCTCTGCATTACTGGTTTTTGTCTCATTACTTTCTGTGGAAGTGAAGAAGTTGTTGGCTGTTGAGCTCGGTACAGAAAGCTGCTGTTCTTGTACTCTTGTCTTGCAGTGGAAACAATTTCTATTTAGTTGGTTGAAATTGTCTTCCCAGTGGTCATATATTGGACAGGTTCAAAATGCTGCATTAGATCTAGACACTTAATTTGAGCAGTGGTGACACACAAGCAAAACAGCAGCTGTGCCTGTGAACCCTGTATCTACGCATCAGTGAATTTCTTTTTGAAGCAGAAATTGCAGGGATTTTTAAACAAAGAATTTAATCTTTAACCTTTGACAGTTTTTGTATTTCCACGAAAAGTTAATGCTGCTGTGGTCCAGAATTGTCACTTTTCTATTAAGCACTAGGTCTTCTTGAGCTGCTTGATATTACCTAATCCTAAACTAAATCCAAGCAATATTGCACTCCGAAGCTGACTTGCATCTTCCTCTTTGCCTTCCCTTTACATATTAACATTGATTTCTTATAAAAATTGAACATCTATAGCTGTTTCACCCTGTTAATTCAAGTATGTAAAGCTTAAAAGGTAAGCTTAGTACATCACTGTTAAAGCCTACTGATGTCTTACAAAGATGTTGCACTCTCTTTATACGGAGGTCTAGCAGTATATTACTTTCATGCAGTGATAGCTCTAATTGGAAACCTAATAGGATACAAGAGATTTCAAAGACTATCACAAATAATAATAGATTATTTTTTAACTGTGAGATATTTTTATTGTCAGTCCTTTGGGTTGAAGCTGGAAATAAAATGCAAAATGTTGCAATATCTCTCATTGGTTCAGGGGGCTGTACTCAATGCTAATAGCGCATCACATGTCTTGAGTGCTGAAGTGCTCCCGGTTGGCAGTTCTCATGATATAAATTCCAACAGTAAATGATGCTAACAAAGCTCAAGTACCTGTTCTATTCAGTAGCTCCACCTTTAGGGGAGGGAGGGGAGGATGATCATGGTGGAACTTGCAGTAATGGCACTGTGTCAGTAGGTTGCTGATGCGTACATAAAGAGGTAATTCCTTGGAGTGGTAGCTAAGGGTGCCCCAGAGAGTCCTTTTCAGTAAGTTACATAGTTAAGCTGATGTCTTTGAAGAGGTAGAGCTTCCTGTCAAATTACAGCTCCCTTCCAGTCTAATGCACAAGTGGTAGCTGGAGAGTACTGAGTGCCCAAATATATAGACCTGCATAGGACACGGACAAGTCATTAAGGTGGAGTGGGATGCCGGGAGTGTTCAGGGGGACTGGCTTTTACTTTAATTTAGTACCACTGTGTGGGGTTTTGTGTTCTGAGGAGAGAAATCTCTCCCTGGTGGCTAGTGTGTCACTTTGCAGAGAACCTGTCTCCTCTTATTGCTTTCTTACATGCTTTCCTTGCCTGGAAGGATGCTTTTAGTCATAGTCTCACTGTTGTGTTGAACTATTTAGCACCAACATATTGAGAACTTCTATTTTTAGTTTAATCTGAAAATAAATTCTTAAGTTTGATAACAGAATTAGCTCCCTTTCTCCCCCGATTTTCCCCTGCTCCGAGAACATGCTTTCCAGCACTGCAAAGAGCAGGAGGGGGGAGCATTACTCTGATCACTGTTGCTACATTGTGAATTTATGGTTCTTTAATTGTATTTCTATTTGTAACACTGTTACTAACACCTAGCTATTACTCTGGTTCCCTTTACAGTAATCAAATGCATATTGTTGTTGCATATATTGAATATATTGGATTGTCTTCCTTCTCAAGTAATACTGCTCCATGATTGTTGTAATATGAAAAGAGCCTTTTCTTTTTAATCCTTCTGTCTTACGTTAACCTTGTTAGAAGAATAGAGAAAGAAGAGCAAGGCTGGTTTTCATTGTATTAGGGATGTTAAAATCCAGCCCCTTACAGAGCAAGGAGAGATTTCTGAAGTCATAGCACATCCATGATGGAAAAAGCTGTGTCAGCACCTCCCTCTGTGCAAAGGGAGTTTTTTTTCAGCTCTGGCATCTTAGAGATAAAATACTACCATAGCAGCAGAGAAAGGAAGAGGTAGCAATGGAGTCCTAAACCATTAATGGCTTTGTAGGTTGAGCTGTACTTAGAAATGCTCTGTGACATATGGTGCACTACAGAATGTAACTGTCTGAGGATCTCAGTAAAACTAATTTCCAACAAGCAGGCATTTTTTTTTCTGCAACACCTTTAATTTGTACTGCTTTTGGTGAGCTGCTGGCAGGTTAGGGAGAAGCTGGAGTTACACAAAGCTGATTTGAGAAAGCACTGTTTTAATTCGACATTGTGATCTTAATTCCCCTTACAAAAACAGTTCCACAATGCAAACAGTATCAGTGGGATGAGTTCATGTGACCTCATTTTAGAAATCAGTGTAGCAAAATGATGAAAGTGTAGAGAATTTTGACATCTAAGAGTATCATCCTGTATTTGTCTTCCTTCAATTATACCATGAGTCTTGGTTTAGCCATTTTAAAGAACACACAATATTAAAAAAAATCAACATAAGTCCTTAATTTATTTAGTATGGTCTCTGGGGTACAGTTTTATAAAAGCTGAGCTGGAAAAGTAATTTCTGAAATACAGTAGGAAATAGTTCTTTAAAACTTTCCTGTTGAGATTGTGTAGCATGTTTAAGAGTACTTCTGGGCAAGGCTGCTCTTATGAATGTCAGGAGAGAGAGGCTGCAAACCATACCCCACCTCTAGTTTCTCAGCTTTGCTAAGCAGTCTGGAGCACTAATAAGCCTAGGTAAGATTTCTGAGATTTTTGGAAGCATTTAATCTACTTCTAATCCCTGTCTTTACTTCAGGTGCTGTATGAAATTAAACATCAGAAACTTTCTTCCATATCATATTTGAAGAATGTAAGAGGTTGCATGTATTTGAACTGTGGTACTATCCCTAAACTGTTTGGTTTTTTTCCTCTTAGTGCTGGCCCCAAAGGTGATAACATCTACGAATGGAGATCAACCATTCTAGGACCTCCAGGTTCAGTCTATGAGGGAGGTGTTTTCTTCCTTGACATCACATTTACACCAGAATATCCGTTCAAGCCTCCAAAGGTAAGAGACCTATAGCTGACTTTATAAGCCATGAACATTCAACAGACCACTGACTAGCAAATGGTGTTAATGGAATGCAGCCCATTTGAAAGCCACTCTAAGAATAAGCTTAAGCTTACTTCAGATGTACATTGTTTTCTGTTAGCTAATGTTAACTACTTTTACATCCTCTTGATCACTGTTTTAGAGCTTGCTTTCTTTTTCCCTGCTTCTGTTTATAAGCCCCCTACACAATTAGTGCAAGCATCGATACAGGACTGAGAAACTGAAAAGCAAATAAACTTGGGGAGAGGAGAAAGGATATCAATACTTGTTTCTCAAACCACTCAGTTACCATAAGCATAACCGTTATATATGTTTTGGCCACTGAAGTAGTATTTAATTTTTCAGTTTTGTTGGGTACTTGTGCTGTTCACCTACTTGTACAGTACCGACTTTTTCTGTAGGTGTGTTGTATTTGTGAAGCTCTTACATTCCAGTGTTATATTCCAGTGCTGCAAGGCAAATACCAGTGCAAGTGAATGTTATCCTGTGGTTCACGTTCTTTGCCAGAGGAAGAGTGTTGGGTTACAAGAAGAGATGGTTGTGTATACATTTCATGTTTGCCTTGTATTGAAAGCATTTATGTGTATGTTTAACTTTCTACTTAAAAGTTGTTGCATTGACGAGCTAAACACCAGTGACCACCCCTTCTTCGGACTGGTCTAGTCTGCTGTAGAACGACTTGCCATAGTTGAGGCCATCTCAGCAGACAGTGCTAATTGATCATACCAGAAAAATTAATACAAGCTAAATTCCTAAATTAAGGAAACTGACTGTTCTTGCTAGCATAACTTCAGGGTTTCTGGTAGTATCAACAGGACCTTAAATTCTATCCCTAAGCTGGGGCACCAGTTCCCAAGCAGCATGGTCTACCCTGGGACGTCTTTAGTGATTTCCTGCTGATGCCTGTCCATTCCTCTTCAAAAGTTTTCTGGCAGCATAGATGGTTCTCTTGTGCCTTGTGTTAAGAGTTTAACTCAGTTCAGAGTAGTTTTTCATTATTTTGTTTGAATTAGTTTGCATGGATAATTTATTGTCCAACCAATGCTATGCAATGACTTATGTCGTGAGCCCAGTAAGCATTTAAAGAGGGAGCTTTTACCTTGCCATGTGTGCTTTGCTACAGCTTTGCTTTCTATGCTACAGGTTAGAAGTATTTATTGTTTTGGCCTTATCCAGCCCGATGCCTTACAAGACCATGTTATAACTACCACTGGTTTTGAGACAGCCCTATATGCCAAGTTCCCTGATGCAGAACCAAAGATACAGATTTGTCGTTGCAGCTCAGCCCTGCTTTCTGCTGTGCACTTCTGACAAGAATCTCTTTGCCTTTATCTTTGAATCTAAGCCCTCACCCAGACGAAAAAAGGGTGGGATTAAAAAAGAATCAGTCATCACTTATTGAGGCCTTAAAAGACTAGTTTAGTGGAGGTTCACTAATAGAATGGCACTTTAGGTTTAAGTGAAGAACCTGTTTATTTTTCACACTCTTACAGCAGCACCTGTGTTAATGCTTGCACAAGTGTTAATCAATGATAATGTGAAAAATATAATTATCATATTGCTTCTGCTTTATTGCCACTAATTTGTTGATTTCACATTGACCAACTGCTTGCAGTGACCAATAAATATTGCTTGTGGGAAGTGCTAGGACTAATGTAATTACCATAGCCTTCCTAGAGCTGTCTTTTGTGGCTAGAAGGAAAGAAATAGCTGCTTGAAACAAAGCCAGTGTATTGTTTTGGTGATAAGCACTGGTAGAGCAGGTACCTCATTGAAGCTCATTTCAAAAGCCTTCACCTCTGAAAAGATGAAGCTCTCTAGAGACTAGTTTCCTAAGCAATCTTCCTTGCAAAGTCTTGCAAGACCAGTGGAAGAAAACGTGTGCTGCCTCTTTGAGTCCTCAGTAATTCTTAGGACAAGTGCCATGTGGTCAATGAGGATCCTAGAGATGTGTGATGAAGGATATACAGGTGCGGCCTTTGAGGACTGGGTGTAGCTTCAGCTGAAGGTTTGATTTTAGTATGTTGGAGCAAACTTTTGAGGGGAGTTGGTTGCCATAGGAGAGCCAGAGGATTGTGCTAGAAGTGATATTAACAGATTCCTGGAAGGATATAAAGAGGAGCTGCACTGCTGTACTTGAGGCTGGAGGATTTAAAGGTCTTAAAATTAGACTTGGAAATGCTCTGCATGGTACAAGAACTTCAGTGGGAGAAATCTGATACAGGACAGATAGTCTCTCTCCTGTCCTAAATGTGTATAATGGAGTTATTTTGCATTTATTGAGCCTTCCATCCATCTTTGAAGATGTTAGTGTTCTCTGTTCTCTGCTTTTATGTTTTCTCATTTTGTGTGGTATTCTGGTTTTGCCTTTGTTTCAGATAGCAATTGAATCGGGCACATGCTGGGTGGGCATGGATTCAGGAGAATCCAATAAACAAGTATAATTGGAATTTCAGAGTTAGTCCTCAAGATGATTACTATTCTTTTGTACTGTTATAATGGACCTTTTCCCAAGAGTTACATTATACTTGGGTTAGATTTCATTTATTGAGGTGAGAACAGTAGCTTTTGTTGACCTGGTGTGTGCTTTGATCATTTGTATTAATAACCTCTAACCACTTCTTTCCCCCCACTCCCATTCTGCTGCTTGTGTAAATTAACCTCTACTATCACTTCAGGGTAATGTTAAGATTAGAATCTTTTGTGCCTTTTCAAAAGCTGTGCTTAACTCTATGTAGTTACTGCATTAAATGTAAGCTCAGGTGTGACATTTCCAAAGGACTGTTCAGTTATAGTCTATTTTTCTGCTATTCCACTTGCTGTTCTCTTTACCCCAAATACATTGTACTGCTTTCTAAGGAGCTCAGTTTCTCTTGGGTTTGGTCTGAATCTACTAGGCTTATGTGATACTTCCCCTGGCTTTTGTACCATCAGCAAAAACTGTAAATGGCAAACAGCTGGACTACATGCATCTAACACCATCCCAGTTGTGACTTGCTGAAAACAAATGTAGATGTTGTCTGACAGTGCTTTGGTTAGGTAGTGCTCCTCTAACTGGAGAAAACTGGTTTTGGTGCCGTGGATATAACCCTTATATCTTAAGGCTTATTAAGGAACCAGCCTTATTCTTAAAGGAAAGCAGCACTCATGCTTTGTTATCAGTTATTAGCCAACTGGACTGGGAGACTGCCAACAGAGTATTTAGCTTTTGTGCTCAGAATCAGGATTAACAACTTTCTATCTTCACAAATTAGAACTCTTGACCTCTCTGTTAATTTGGTCCTTATTGTATCAAATTGGAAATGCTCCATGCTTCCCCCTCTGGAAGTGCTTAATCTGTTAGAATCACTACCTCACCTACATTTAGAAGCCTTCTTGGAAAGAGACCAAAGCTGCCGGTCAAATACAGAAATACTGAGCAAGCAGTGGGGCTGGGCTGAAGGCTGCTCAGCACCTGGGACACAAACACTGCCAGCAATTGCTAATGCCACTAACTTCAGTTTTGCCCTAAACAGTTTGGGTTGGGACAGGTACGGCAGGGTTGGATCTGCCCTCCGCTCAGTCTGATGTATGTGGAGTTCCACGTACTGTAGGAGTGATTGCTGCTTTTCCTCTGAGGGTTAGATGATCTGTGAACCAAAGGTCACTTTGGCTTCTTGCCTGCTTTACCACCAAGTTTCCCTAGGTAGGAGGCATCAGGGGTTGTTTCAGAGTTGCAGCTTGTTGCAGAAGGAAGGGGACACATCTCCATTCTCGCAGTCATTTTGCTATTCCCACCCATAATGTGCAGGACTGTAGGGATTTGGTTTTATTTTTGTTCATTTGCTCCCTGTTTTAATCTTAAAATCCAACCATTTTACAAGGAACAAAGCAGAAAGTGTCCACAAGCGTGCAGCGTGGGTGTCTCCTGTGTGACAAGCTTCTGCGAGTCTGAAAATAGACTGTGTGCTTTGTGCATTGGGAGTGTTCTTGGAAACACGGCGTGGATGCAGTGCACAGGGGCAGGGACACACCGGGCACTGGTGTTTTGTAGCTGTGCCACCTCTCTGTGCCTGTGAGCAGAGAAGGTCACGGGCAACCTTTTTGCATCAGGGTGCTAAAAACGAGGGTTGGCCGGGAAGTTTCACGTGGGGGCTGGTCTCTTCTTGAGAGAGAGCGCTAGTGTGTTCTTTTCTTACCAGTGTGTTTCACAAATACCCCTTTGGCCTATAAACGTACGATAAAACCTGTGGGTGTGGGTAGCTGACAAATTCTGAGGATTTAGGGCATGAACCCACCAGCCTTTATTGACACAGATGATCCTAATCCATACAAGTTCCGCCAGATTCATCCAGTGAGTCGGTAAGGCTTTCTTGCAGGTCCCATTTTCTCCCAGAAGCAGCTCGTGGTGCTTTTGTTTCCCATTCAGATAAGTTCTGTGGCAAGCTGCCTGGCTCACTCACATCTCCCAGATTTGAAAATAGTAGCATCCAAGCAACTCCCCCTATTGCTGAGCTCTTAGAAGAGATGGGAGCTGTGATTCCAAGTGTCCCAGCCTGTCTGGGTGACTGTATGTGTCCTTGGGAGCCCAGTGGGAGAAAAATGCTGCTGTTAAAGCCCCAGGCCCCTTGGCTGCTGCGAGCAGAGAGACAAAAGGTGATTAAAATAATAGTAAAACCCCCAAATAAATAAAACCCACACAACCTGGGTTTCACAGTGATCATAAGCACCCACAGTTGGGAAGTTGGTGGTTCAGCAGGAAGATGGTGAATGCATTGTCAGTCGTGAGCCTGTGCTGAGGCTGCAGTGATTCACATCAGGGCCCATGATCTATATCTTGGTTCCCCTTCCTTCAGATGAGAAACCTGGGCCATCCATCACCTGTCCCAGTGTGTCTAGCACTGCTCAGGTGTACCTGGAGGGGCTGGAGCAGTGCTGCCAGCCACGCGCTCCTGTGACTTGTGGTTGTTTATTTACTTTAAAGCATAAAATCAACAAGGTTGGAAAAGACCAACGTTTAACCCAGCACTGCCACGTCCACCACTAAACCATGTCACTAAGGGCTTCGTCTCCATGGATTGTCAACACCTCCAGGGATGGTGACTCCAACACTGCTCTGGGTAGCCTGTTCCAATGCCTGCAGTCAGGCTCTTCGCGATTAGCCTCTGGTTTCCAAGATGTACTCGGGCTGTATGTTCTGTTTAACGCTGAAGCAACAGGTGGGAAATGCCTTTCCAGTGCAGCGCGGCTGCGGTCGCCCGAGGCCGGGGTATCAGGGAGTGGGGCGGCTCGGCCGGTCCCGGTCCCGGCCCGGCGGGGGCGGTGTGCTCCCGCCAGCGGCCGCCAGATGGCGGCAGCGGCCCGGTCCGGCCGTGCCCCAGTGCCGTCCTGCAGCCTGGCCGCGGTCAGTGCCCCTAGAGCTCGGCAGCTCGCGTGGCCTCCGTCCCTTCGGTGTTAGCCTGTCAGCTGAGCTCGTTGTGCGGTACCGGACACACCATCTAATGCCTGTTTCTCGCAGGTAACGTTTCGGACAAGAATCTACCACTGTAACATTAACAGCCAAGGCGTCATCTGCCTGGACATTTTAAAAGACAACTGGAGTCCAGCGTTAACCATTTCTAAAGTCCTCCTCTCCATCTGCTCCCTCCTCACAGACTGCAACCCAGGTAAGTCTCCTGCACAGCCATGCAGGACTCCTGATGCCTTGCACCCTGCCAGGCCCCTGGATAACATGGCCTTTACTCATCTCACCCTGTGGATCTGGCCTCCAGTGCAGCACCTTTCCTTCTGCTGGGCAGCCAGAGAGGGCTGGAGGTGGAGGAAGTGATACACCCTACGTGCCTGCTGGTTTTGGGTGAGGGTTGGGCACTCTTCATTGGTCTGCAGGACTGTAATAATTCAGTGATGGAGCTAGAAGAGCTACAAACTCAGCTCTGAAAACAAGGGGATTAGTCTTTTATTTTCCATTATCCATTTAAAACCAGTGGTCAACTATGCCACAGGTAGTCCTTGCTGCTTCTCTAACCCAGCCCTTATCCACACCAGTGACGAGGAACATGCCTTGGTTTCCAAAGTCAACAGAGCCTTGGGCAACATGTTCTAGTGTGAGGTGTCCCTGCCTATGGCAGGGGGGTTGGAACTAGATGATCCTGAGGTCCTTTCCAACCCAAACCATTCTATGATCATATGTGTCTTCTAAAGATGAGAGGAACACCAGATTTCACACTATATTGTGTATGATGAAAATAAACTTGCAGGAAAAATAAAACCTCTTCTTGAGATCTGATCTTTTCTAGAAGGCAGATTTATATTGATACAAGTACGGTCACCAATGAGTATGTTCCAGGAACTTTCAGAAGGGGTAAAATAAACCTGAAACACATGAATCAGTGAAAGCCCTCAGTAATGCAGAATATGGTTATTGAAACTTTAATTGGCATTTTGCTCTTTATTAAGTAATAGATTAGTACATCACCATAAATACACAGAAACCAGTGAAGATGCAGATCATCAATTAAGTATATATAAGTGCTGCAATGCATCTATGTGATTCCCCTGTATTAAATCCATGTTTCAGCTTTATTTTCGTGTTTTTATTTGGTAGCTTGTCTGAAATAAGTGGTTTGTTTTCTTTTTCAGCTGACCCCCTGGTTGGAAGTATTGCCACTCAGTATATGACTAACAGAGCAGAGCATGACAGAATGGCCAGGCAATGGACCAAAAGATATGCTACATAAATAAGATTTTTGTGAAACTCTTACATTATTTGTCTGTGATGGAAAGAGCTGCTTATGATTTTGAAGGGGCGGGGGGAGGGAGGGTGCTGGTAAAGAGTAGGGTATTTCTATAACAGATTTTATTCAGTCTTTTATTTCCTAAGATTTTGTTGTTGTAACTTAAGGTATCTTGCTACAGTAGACAGCTAGGATTGGGAATAGCATATTTTAAGACTGTAATTAGTTCAGCAATATTAGCTCACATATAGTACCGAGGAGAATGTAAACTTCTTAGACTTCTTTGGTTTTCAGTTTGCTTGCAATATGTAAAAGATTAAAACAGCTTAATTTTGTACAGGTACATATGTTGACATTTATGTAAAAGTTCTTTCAAGACTCTACACACTGTTTTTGCCTTTTGTTTTGTTTAGGTTTGGGGGGGTTATTATGTTCTGGGTTGGGGTTGGGTTTTTTTTCCCTTCTTTTTTTTCTTTGTAAAAAGATGTTGGGATTGTTTTCCCCTATGGAGGGCACATTGGTATTTAACAATCCTTATTAAAGACTGTCATCTCATGATCTGTGATTATGGAGAGGTGGATGTATGGCCTCATATATGAAATGAGAAGTAGTTAGTGTATTATTTTATAAGCCAATCTATCTTTGTGAAAAGAATAAAGGTCTTAATCAGGATTTACGGTAACCTGTAGTGAAATACCTTAAGCTGTTTAATTGTAAGGCGTGGAATAGGAGTCACTCAGTGGATTGGTTGTATGTTGTGGGCTACTTAAGTCTGCATTTGTTACTGTGCTAATAAAAAGATGTTTAAAAAAAAAGAAGAGGACAAGATTTCTGCTTAGTGCCTTGCTTTGTCATTTTTCCAGAACAGCATCTCCCGGTATGCTTGAGGATTACAATATGAAATTATAGCCTGTTAAATGTGTTAACGGAGCAATTCAGGTGCAGTGCTGTGCTCCCCTCAGCATGCCTTTTGCAGCCCCAGTGTCCCTGGAGCTGCCATGACCTTCAGATTAGGATTAGGCATGCCAAAATGCCATTCAGATTAGGTTTAGGGTTCAGAGAACCACAAAGACTACAACTCCAAAGTACTGGGGACCTCACCCTCAATTCCAAGATGATGTTCAGATTAGGGCTAGGGTGCAGAAGAAGAGAATATCTTCATGTTTTTACCTAGCCTAGTGGAAGGTGTCTCTGCCTGTGGCACAGAGGTTGGAACTAGATGATCTTTAAGGTCCCTTCCAACCCAAACCATTCCGTGTTTTTCTGATGGAGTGGTCTGTTCCCACTTGGAAGAGAAGGAATCACGTATTTTAAGCTGGCAGAAGACACCTTAAAGGAGAGTAAAGGAGACTTAATCTGTAGATCCTTTAACTGCTTAACAAAGATTATCGCCTGGAGACATGGTGTTTACGCTATGGTGTGTAGCAACAGTGCAGTTCTGGATATAGCATTTTTGACCAGTCATTTAAAGTAAAGGCTGGAAGTACGGATGCCTTTTCACATGGCTAGTACTTCACATTGTGACGTTCTTCTGAGTGCTATGTGGTCACCTGCAATTTCATATTTGTTTTGGTATTTTACAGTAAATTCTGTATATATTTTATATATTTTCCTTCCTATCTATATACATTCAAATCTAACTCTGTCCAAAGTAATCTGTTAATTAGAGGTGATACCCTTTCTTTGCTGGGTGGTTGTGGGCAGTAGTATGTAAACCTCTGTTCAACTGTGGTCCTTTGACACAAGGTGTGTTTTGGTGTATGAGATCCCTCAGCTGCTTGGCTCAGCCTAGCAAAATTATTGGTACATTATTACATCACACCGGGAGCATCTCTGGCAACAGTTTCCTCCTCTCCTTCACTGAATGAAGAGGTAAATGGCTTCATCTCAGTAGGTTTTTGTCAACTCCTTGCTTCGTGCTACCAGGACATGCTAAATCAGCTGTTGTAGCTGGCCATGGGGAGGGAGCTGATCTGGGGTGACTGATCAGCACAGTTTATTCAGCAGGACAGAAGTTTAAAAGCAACAGAGAAAAATGATTCACTGATTTTTTCTTTTTTATAGTAATTTTTCTCCATTATCCTGTGAAGGGACTGTCTAGCTTTGTAGTAGGGAAGTGATCCCAGTGACCTTGGACAGGTTTTGAGTCAGTGGCATAGTAAAAACAAGATACATATTCTGCCCTATAGCTACTACATTATATTCTGTACTTTACTTGTTAACCCTATGTAAAACTGTACTACAGTGAGTTTAATTTTTACTTGGTACCAGCCACTGTGTGTGGATTGCAGAGGAGATGCTACATTTTCCACCACTTGTCAATAAAATACTATGGTATTTAGAAAGGAAATTGATTTGAGTACTTAAAAAGCAGCAGAATAAGCCTATGAAAGAAAACAGTGGGTGGTGGTTGTTTATGTGAATGCCCAAAATGATTTAAACTTGTTTCTAATGAATTTAAACAAATCAAAGATAACATATTTACCTCTTTGTAACCTCTTTGGAAAAATGGCCTTTGCCATTCAGACAATCCCTTTCCCTCTTGCCTTTCCTAAGACATTGTCAAGTCCTGAGTGTCCAGGGGAGGGAGTGACCCAGCTGATCTTGTACAATACAGCTCTGGCAGCCTACAGGTGACATCAGCCTTGGCAGTTGAATGGGCACCAAGTCTGCAGGATGCAGAACTGGGCAGGAACCAGTCACCTCTGTTATTTCTATCTCCACACATTTTAAGTCAGTTCTTGTCAACCTGCACTCCACTGGCTCAAGAGTCAGCTTCAGTGGCAATGTGCAGGTAGCAGAGGTCTTCGCTTATTTTGGTTGATCAAAGCTGAATTGAGTCCCTTCTAGAAGAGGGGTTCTACAGAGCTGAGAGGAAGAGCATAACCAATTCCTTGGTGAGAGGTTGCAGCAAGGAGATGAACCACTGCTGCTCTGAAGTCACCCCACTTACCTAGCACGCAGGCAGATGCAGTCTTCTGCGTAGGGAGAAGCCTCAAGAAGACGTGTGCTTGGTAGGAAATGAGTGAGGAGGGAGTGTTGTTCTGCAGCATCACTGAGGACAATGACTACTACTAGCCAAGTTGAGGGAGGTCGTGTTATAGTGCTTACTCAGCTGCAGTGTTGCAATGGAAACAATTGTATGTTTCTAGCAGGGCATTACAGGAGCTTGCTCATTCATAATTGCTTTCTTATCTCATTCCTTGGCCGCAGCAATCCAAACTGTATTGAGCAAAGCACATAAACAGTTTTGTTTACCTTCATTATAAAGCTAGGCATCCTGCTTAATTTTTAGTGAATCGTAATGCTGCTCTGACATCATTAATGCTGATGGACTTCATGTGTCAGTATTCAGAAAGAGCAATGCTAGAAGCACACAGTTTAATTGTGATTATTAAGCACACCTCTATTTAGCAGTTATGGTATCACAGTGCAAATATTACTCATGGTTTTGCTGGCTTACAGTGAAATTCTCAGTATTTATTCAAAACAATATTAATTTAGTGGAAAATGGATTTCCATTACAGTCTCCACCCCTGATCCCTTTGGGCCAGGTTATAGGATATAACATTGCAATGAACTCCTTGCTCCTAGCCTGGCTATCAACAAGGGGTTTCTGCTACAGTAGTTCCCATAACATGCAACTCAAGTCCCAACTTATGTTATGCAACTCATAACAACTTAAAAGTATTTTCATTACAATGAGGGAAATGAGTACTTCAGTTCACTCCCTCTCTCCAGTATAAGAGGTTGTTAGAGGCTGAAAGCTGTCTGGTCTGTGAACAGTTGCTCATTCTGTCCCTCTATCCAATTCTGTTTAGTTCACTGACAGGCTGACCTAGAACAGCAGGTTCCTACAGCACAGGTTTACCAGCATGGAGACTCAAACACAGCACGTGCAGTTGTGATCCTGCTGCTGGACCAAGGCCATGTGTATGGGTATTTCTGGGCATTTGCCATGGGGATGTACCCAAAAGGCAACATCCTACACTCTCACAAAGTATTACCACTTGTTATCCAGCCTGTAGCTTCATACCAAGCGTGGGTTACTGCAGCTGGGTTGAATGGCTAGGTAGGAGTATTATGCAATGCACTAAGCAGAGCCCAGGCAGCACCTCCTGCATACAACATTGCTCCATTTAGTTTCTCATCAAAATTATCACTAATGTGAATGTGACTGATTTGTACTGGACATGCTGGAACAAAACCATGTACAGCTATGTCGTCCTTCAGGTCGCAGTTAAGCTAATGAGTGCTCTGAGAGCTTCTCTGGTTTGTACAAATAAATTCCTGAGCTGAAAGCACTACTTGCCAGACTTTGCTGACAAGTTTCGTGTCAGGGTAGATCTGTTCTAGTCTCTCCCACAAGATTTGGGGGTTTTTTTCTTTGTTTTTATCTTTCAGACAGTAGCAGAACTTCAGCAGCTCAATCTGCTGGTAGTTGTTCCTCCTGCCCCAAAACTTTCTGCAGCAACACACTGAACTCAGCCTCCTGCAGCATCAAAAAGCCCTGTGGCCCTGTTTAAAGTCAAAGGTAAAAGGACTGTTGCCATTAAAAACATATCCTCTTTTTAAAGCTGAATGCTTTATTGCAGCCAGTACTATTTGTAACTAGAGGCTATAGCTCTGCTATAGCTCTGCAGGGGGATTGCTTAATAAGCTTGTTGATTTGTCCCTCAACATAGCTGTATCCAGGCACAGTCAAAGCTCCAACTAGAGAGGTTTCCACCCATCCTCCCCTCCTCCATAACCCTTGTTACAAGATAACTCTTCTCATGAAATGCTTTTTAGGGCTTTTATCACCAGTGACTTTACCAAGCCAAGGCCATGAGAAGAAAAGATACCTCTTAGCGATAAACTTGCAGATTTTATTCCTGAATGAGATTATTGCTTTAAGTGAAACTGTGAGAAGCATGGCACAGAAAGGACTTAGACAGTGACCTGGCAGCTTAGGTAGCTTAGTTATCACAGTTATTCCCTTTGCTCTTCCTTCCAGGCAAGGGAAATGTTGATTTGTTCTGGGACTGAGAGAGTTTGCTAGCTAAGAAGGTGAAGGGCTCAAGCAGTGTTTTCCGATCTGTTACAGTCACTTCCCACAGTCTCACTTTCTCAGCCCTTGCCCATTGCTGTGCTGCTTCTGTTTCCACTTGCCTTTGGTCCACGAGGTCAGTTTTGTTTCCCAGGACAATAACTGTTACCTACAAACAAAACAAAAGCGTAAGCTTTGTACAAAACGCATGCACCACTCACAGCTCTTTTCAACAACAGGCAAGTAGCAACACAGTTCAGACCTGTTCTTTAACTCAGCACTAGCACAAGATAAACTGTGTGTAGTTTGGAAGATCAGGGTTTGGGATTCTAATTAGCCTCATCTACATGTGGGCTGGGAGCTGGTTTTAATCATAGGATATGCAGGACTTCTACCCCCCCAGTTGCTTGAAGGGAAGCAATGCCCACGAGAGCCAAAGTTAAACAGCCCTATTCTCCATTTACTTGGCAACTGACCTGCCCGATACAAATGATAAGAACATGACATCTGAGTAGGTCAGAGCAGCAGATGCTTGAGAGGCGGTGGCAGCAGAGAGAGCCTGGACCCCACAGCTGTGGATTTTGCCCAGCTTGTTTTAACCAAGCCCACAATACAAATAAAGCCAACTGTGCCAGAAGGCAGCCTGTGCCAGCAGCCCGGGCAGGCTGAGCTGTTGTTCAGCCCAGCCAGCTGCCCACTCCTGCACGCATGGAAAGCCACCAGAGGGACCTATCGGGACAGTCTTCTGTTGCTGCAAGGGTCAGATAAGCACCATCCTCTCAGAAGCAGTTTCAAGAGCAGCTGGTTAGCTAACTAGAGCAGCACAGCTGTTTCAAAACACAGCCTTAGTTGTAATGATCCATCCAGTGACTTCTGTATCACCAAGGAAGTACAGTGTGGCTGAGCTCAGTGGCCTGCCTGGTACTTCAGTTCTAGGAAGTGCTGAAGGTGGTGCTGGCCACTTACAGTTACTGCTCCTGCTATTTTAAGTTAACCATTTTCTAAAAACGTGTTACCAGCATCAGCTCCCAAGAGAAACCATGCCTACATTTAGAGTTCAAGGTCCTTAGTCAAACTCTGGTCTCAACTCTACACCAGTGGTTTGACAAAGTGATAAATTCTTCTTTGGGTTTTTTGCTGTGGCCACACCTGCATGCTCTTTCCTGTTCATCAAGCTAATTCCAGGATGTCTTTTTCTTAGCCGCTAGAGGTGTTTGTCCTGTTCCTGTGAGGTCTGAGGCTTTCTTTCCTTTCCATAGCAGCCTAGGGTGTTCAGGAAAATGTGTTTTCCCTCTGAGAAAGCTTTGAAAGAAGCTAAAATCTTCATATGCATTTACCACATGCTTCAACTGAATTTTACCTATGGTTAAACTCTGTCATTATGAGAGAACACAAACTCTATTTAGCATAAAATTTGGCCAGGCTTTAAGGTGGGTGCTGGAGAGCAGAGGCAAGGAACCAGCCATCAGTGCTTTCTGTCATCTGCCATGCAACAGGCGACTGTGTCACTCATCAAGGTGAAGTTCTGCCAGCTCAGAAGCACCATGTGAGATAGATCCCTCATTCAGTTGAGGATGCTTTCTAGCACAGCCCAAGCTTTGAGCCTGCTGTTGCTTTTTTAAGCTAGGACTCCTGAGCTCACCTTCTGTCTATGTTTCAAAGCCTATTATATATGGACTATAAATCACAGAAATAAAACTAAGTTATCCAGCTTATTGTGGGCACCACTTTCTCAACTATGCCATCCTTAGTCAAGATCAAAACTTTTAAGCTCTGCCAAAGGATAAACAAATTGGCTGTTTTCTAAAATACCTGCATGCAACAAGAGAGGAGTTCTGGCAGGTAACATAGAAGAGAGAGAGACATGGATCCTGTTTGGGCTGTGATTCGCTCTCTGCATTACAACATGCTGTAAAGTAACTCATGGGGCCCTCAAAAAAACACAGCACCTGAGCAAAACTTCCTGCTTGTCCACCTTTCCTTGCCCTGCAGGGGAGTTGTGATTGACTCCCAGACTCCTGCTATATGTGACGGCCTGCAGCTCACACCAGCCCTACAAGCTAACATAACTCTCCCCTGACGGCACATTCGGCTGCTGTCAGCCTTGGAGCCTGCCTTCCTCCACCACCCTATGTGCTGTCAGTACTAAACGAGATACATTTTTGGAAAGTCTCTCCCCCTACCATTATCCAATTAATTCTTCATGAGCTTCTATTATTTTTTTTAACAGCATAAACCAGACATTTGGAAAGCTGTAGGCTAAAGACATTTACCAGGAAAAACTACTAGAGAACATAAAGATACTGTAGGAAAAGCCATAATGCTAATGCCACATGCAAGTTATATTTGTTTAGCTAAGCTGGAACACTGTCAGCTGAAAACACTAGCTGCTTTCTAAGGGAAAATAGAGCAGTCATTTCACACAATTGAATTGATTCAATATGGTTGTTAAAATACATTAAAGCTGCTTTGCCAATTGACTAATGTCTGGGAGACCCACTGTCAATTACACTAGTTTGTAAGCCATCAAGTACATGAATACAAAACAAACAAAGATAATGCCCTTCGTAACATTATTCTATGCACTTGACTTCCCATGTACAATATCTAAAAAAAAATGTATGAACTGCACTGCTGTAGACCATATGTTTTATTAGTCATAAGTATCCTGGCTGGTGCATTCAGTTAACTGAATTTTAGCTCAGTAGATGAAGTAAGGAGGAAAAAAAATCCCACATTCTTTTGCATGACCTGCATGGCATGTGAATTAGGCTTCCCCAGCATGAGAAAGCTTCCTTTTGCTGGATTGCCCACGGCTATGGGTACATTCATTTTCCTTTGTATGCAAGCTTTAAAGAAACAAACTCTCTGCTTTGCAACCTTAATTTTCTATCACTGATATAGCTATAAGCCAAGCAGTTAAGCACTATGAGTTTACCTCCTTTTTGTCTCTAAAGACATCAATCTCCTTTTTGAGCAGTTCCACTCTTTGGAAAGCTTCGAGGCTGGTCACAGCATACACGAGAACGAAGGCATCAGCGACAGAGAAATAGTGCTTTGGCACTTCTACGCCCTCCTGCAGACCCCTGGTGTCATAAAGCCGTAACTGTTCCTTCACACCTCGGTCTGTTTCCACCGATGCCAAATACACATCTTCCATTGTGGCACCCTCTTCTAAACCTGTTTTAAAACAAGCAGGAAAGTTCAACTGGTGTAAGTACAGCACCACTATAAGAATTATTTGAAGTACAGCAGGCTTTTACCTAGCAATAGCTTCCAGTGCATGTTTTCCAGAGTGACTTGACCTGGACTCAGCCTTGCCTGACATCCCCATGAAGGACTGTATTTATAGATCACTGCACCAGCTATTTACAATAGCGACACTGCATAAATACAACCATCTAATATGTGAACACATGATTATGCCTGTGAAATTAACCTATGCAACATGCACATTCAGTATAGGATAAGATACATAGCTCTCCTCCTAGGTTTCCCAAACTCCAACCACCCAGGGTACCGGTTCTGTGCCAAACATGCTGCAAATGGGCCTGCCCAAACATACCCTTTTGGAAGAACAGCCAAGGAACACCACATAGTCAAGTACTAACATCTTGAGCCTACTTCTTTGCTTCATACTGAGCCGGATCATACAGCAGAAGCAGAAGCCAAAAGAATAATTCTGGAAATGAACGTGTATTGGTGGTACAATTAACCAACAAGTAAAATCAAGCCAGAAAAGGAAGGGGAAGTTTGCATGCAAGCAAATTTGCATGTTATATTTACTCAAATACACAGTGAGCTTTTTCCACCCCTTAGGGATTTAAAATGATTCAGATTTGCTAATAGAAGCAAGCTCATCTACTGCAAGGTAAGAGCACACACAAGGTAACAAGCTTTCATATATATATATATCTATATATATATATCACCTGCTCCATGGTAACTATCTGCAGACTGGCTCTCCTTGCTTCCTCTCCTCATGGTAAACGTGAGGTAATTCAAGACCTCTTACTTTGAACTAATTAAAATTACTTTTTCCAAGCCAAACCTGAAAACACATAGATCACCTTAGCTTTGTGTTCCCCCTGGATGTGGGTGCATAAGGTTACAGGTCCCAGCAAACTATGTACAGTGTCACTGGGCCACTTTCAGAGTTGGTTTTAAGTATCCATATAAACCCTCTGGAATCCACCTTTTTGCCTCCATTGCACTCCTGTATGCATGAACTGTTTGCCTTTGCAGGGCTACAGCAACTAGTTCTGTTTTATTGTCTTTGTGTGCCAAAAAGGGGCCATATTAGTGCATTGTTTAAGAAAACACCAGGGATTATTTGCCCTGTGAAAATAAGGATTTTTCTGCATTCAATGACACTATTCAGAGTACTTCACATTGACAAACAAGCTGAAGCATTCCACCCACACTGACCATTTCCCATGATGTGTGCAGCATTCCTGTGCAGGAAAGTGGCACAAGCTGTTCTTTTTGCCCCTCTCTGTGCAGTCATCATAGATCAAACTCTTATTAGGTTTGCAACGAATTAATTTCCCTCACCTCCAAATATAACCATGCTAATGTGCAAAAGCAAAACTGCGAGCAGAAGGACAAAACAAAGGTTAATAAGAAGAGGAGGCACAAACACATTCCATGTAGCTGGAGAATGTGTTACAAGGGCATTTCTTAAGACCAAAGCAGTAACAAAGCCCTTTCTGGATATAGCACTCTTCTATAGATAAAGCACTATATTCTTGCTTTGCGTCCTTGTGTTGTACAGACAGGTCAAGGAAATACCTAGCATCAGTAAATACTACTTTGGCAAGAAGGAATGAACCATAACTACCAAAGTTTTCTACTTAGAAAGCAATAATGTTGTACAGGTTTTTACCATCTAAATGATGCACTGTAATTCAGCAGTCTTTAATATATCCACCTTCTCCTCTGATGGTCTCTTTTTAATGGCATTAAAAGTGGCAGTGAAAACTATGTCTTTTAACAACCTACTTGAAAATTAAGTGAAAAATTAAGACCCAGCACTTAAGTCAGCAGAATAGAGCAATAAATTTTGATGTGAAATGGGGAGGGCACTTTGGAGGCAGCTGGAATTTATGCATCAGTAGCAGATTCCAGAGGTAAAGCTTCACCTATGTACGTTGCAGGAGGGAGTATATGCAAGTAGATTCCTAAGCAAACACAGATAATTTTTAGACGTACCTGTGTCACCATATTCTAGGCCCTGCTTCTAAAGCCCAGACCACATGCTAGCCAATATTTACAATTCTTGTCAGTACCATCCCAGTCAAACACTTTTGTGGTCTCCATTCAAACATGGATGGGGCTTGAGCAACCTGGTCTAGTGGAAGGTGTCCTTGCCCATGGCAGGAGGATTGGAACTTGATCTCTAAGGTACCTTCCAACCCAAACCATGCTATAATTTTATGTGCCAGGCAAGCTGTTATACTAGCAGCAAAACTAGTTAGGAAAGCCCATTATCCTAGGAGGGTGCCTTTTAACACCCCATCCTCCTGTCACAAGGATCCCAGATCTCCTTTCCTTCTCTGGCATCCCTGGTGTCGTAGTTTAAACCCAGACAGGTAATTCGTTCGCTCACTTCCCCCCCTTTCTTGCCCTCTCCCTGCTCTCGGAGGGACGGAGAGGAGAATCGAAAAGAATGCAACTCCCACGGGTTGAGATAAGCACAGTTTAGTAACTAAGGTATAACACAAATCACTACTGCTACCACCAATGATAATAATGATAAAGGAAATAACAAGGGAAGAGAATACATCATCTCACCACCAGCCGACCGATAACTCGCCCCCCCCAGCCCGACCAAGCTCTGACCGATACCTCCTCCAACCCTGCAGACTCCCAGCCCTTCCGGCTAACTCCCAGTTACATCCTGGGCATGACGTGCTGTGGTATGGAATACCTCTTTGGTCAGTTTGGGTCAGGTGTCCTGTCTCTGCTTCCTCCCGGCTTCCCCTCCTCCCTGGCAGAGCATGAGGCTCACAAAGTCCTTGGCCAAACCAAAACATCACTTGTTATCAGCTCTGTTCCCGAGCTGAAAGTCAAAACACTGCACTGCACCAGCTACCAAGAAGGGGAAAAATGACTGCTACTGCTGAACCCAGGACATTATCCACCCCTTATTCCATACCATTCGCGTCATGCTCAGATCCCACATTTTCAATATACCATCACTCTTATCTCAGTGCACTCTTATCTTAGTGCATGGACCAGTCCCTATAAAGCTGCTGAGTCCATCTGGTCCATGATGTCAGGCTCCATCTCTTGTAACAGTCTTCCAGAGCAGGAGAGACTGTGTGCAGTGTTCACACTCGTGAATAACCTGGGCAATAGTGTCCATTGCTAAGTCCACCCCTCGATCATGAGTCCATATCTATGTTGCATCTTTGCTCTGATGGCCTGAAGTGCCATGGGCCCACCAGGCTTAAAATAATTCACTGTCCCCTTCAGCAGTTTCTGCAGCTTGTTGCTGGGGACTCCATACAGCTGCCTTCCATCTCCGGTGCTTCCAAAGCACTGGAGGGGCCCAGTGGACTAGATACTTGCCCATACTGTCACACACACCCTGCCACTCCTGGCTGTGCAGCCTTGGGGAAAACCTCTTGGTCCCCCTGTATTGTCGTCTAACCCCAGACAAGACCCAAACCCGACTCTGCTTAACTTTTGAGATCAGACAAAATGGTTGTGGGTAGAACACAGCCTGTGTGTGTGCCAACATGCTGATCCCCACCACAATCAGCAGGCAGGTCCCAAGGACACCCAAAGGCCATTCAAAACCTTCAGAACTCTCAGTTGATGCTGCTGTGCTTGTCACTGGGGCTGGTGTAGCTGCTGTGCTTGCCGGCTCTCCCACCACCAGCTTCTCTTTTCCTGAGTCCAGCTCTTCCCCCTCTGCCTTGCTGGGAAATGCTGCGCGGTCCCCTGCATCCTCCTGGGGCTCAGCGGGCGGCTTCCGGGAAATGCTCTCGGCCGTCGCGGGGCTCGGCTCCTCCGCGGGGCTCGGCTCCTCCGCGGGGCTCGGCTCCTCCGCGGGGCTCGGCTCGGCCGCGGGGCTCGGCTCCTCCGCCGCCTTCTCCCGCTGCTCGGCAGCCGCCTCCTTCCGCTCCTCGACCGCCCCGACCTCCTCCACCCGCAGCCGTCCCCTCGCGGCCTCCGGCCCCGCTCCCGCCGCCGCTTGGTCCCCGGGGCCGCTCTCCCGGGCCGGTTCGGCTGCCGCCGGCTCCCGGGGCCGCTCCCCCTCGGCTCCCCGCAGCCTCACGAAGATGGAGAGTAGGGTGAGGGCCAGGACGGTGAAGAGCAGCCGGACGGCCAGGTACAAGTCCACGGCCACGTCCGTCCCGCCCTGCTGCTGGAGCCCGCCCGTATTACAAGCCATTGCCATAAAGCACAGTGAGACAAGAACCTTAGCCCAGGCCCCATACTTGATAAACACTATCACAGCAAATACCGGCTCTACGTAAGTTACAACATTCTGAAGCTGTGAGATCAAGCGAAACAACTCTGAGAGCCAATAAATCAGCATTGTGACGAGTGACTATTAATCCAGTCAAATCTGTCGTTATCTCAACCCTTCGTGCCCCACGTTGGGCGCCAAAAAGAACTGTCGTAGTTTAAACCCAGACAGGTAATTCGTTCGCTCACTTCCCCCCCTTTCTTGCCCTCTCCCTGCTCTCGGAGGGACGGAGAGGAGAATCGAAAAGAATGCAACTCCCACGGGTTGAGATAAGCACAGTTTAGTAACTAAGGTATAACACAAATCACTACTGCTACCACCAATGATAATAATGATAAAGGAAATAACAAGGGAAGAGAATACATCATCTCACCACCAGCCGACCGATAACTCGCCCCCCCCAGCCCGACCAAGCTCTGACCGATACCTCCTCCAACCCTGCAGACTCCCAGCCCTTCCGGCTAACCCCAGTTACATCCTGGGCATGACGTGCTGTGGTATGGAATACCTCTTTGGTCAGTTTGGGTCAGGTGTCCTGTCTCTGCTTCCTCCCGGCTTCCCCTCCTCCCTGGCAGAGCATGAGGCTCACAAAGTCCTTGGCCAAACCAAAACATCACTTGTTATCAGCTCTGTTCCCGAGCTGAAAGTCAAAACACTGCACTGCACCAGCTACCAAGAAGGGGAAAAATGACTGCTACTG